GAAGAAACTCTGAACCTTAGCAATCAACGGAAAAATTCCTGACCGTCTTTAAATTGTGTTAAAATGGCAAGCCATTGTATTTACCAAACAAAGGCCACAACAATTTGGGTTGCTTACCATGGAAAAACTTCAAAACGCCCCACCACTCATCAGCTGTCATCGCTTTCTGCTCGGAAACCATTTGCATAAAGCGATACTCCCTAAAAAATTATACATTTTATTTCTGGCATACAACTCGGTTGATCACATATTTTCAGTAAATAAAACACAGAATCTTAACAAAACAGGCTAGAAAAACATGTCTTACTACACCATGTGATTGTTTGAATGATCCGTCTAACGGCTTACAAATGACGCTTTAATCCAAACGTTTTTAAAGGGCAGGAAGTAGCCTGTAGCCTGTTTTGAATATTAGTTATTTATGTGAAAGGTATGTTAGTATAATTACTTTATTTGCCGAATTAATGAGAATTAAAACCGAAACTAGACGGCAGGAGGGAGCTACAAACGATTTTGCAAGGTTTATCTCTATAGTATAGAAAATTTTGTTCTAAGGCCATAGCTCATCGACAGTGGCGGATTAAGGAGTTGAACATGAGACCCCAAATTTCGGGGGCTCCAAAATTTTCTCTTAAAACAACAACAGTAAAAATAATTTTCCTGTTGATTTTTATTTGTTTCGTACAATCTAAATTTCAAAACCATAAGCTTTTCTCCCTCTAAATTTACAAATAAGTAAGTATGAGATTTTTTTTCCACCATGAAATTATACGTTTGTCCCTTAGCCGGACGTCAACACCCACGCTCTACGGTGCAAGCTGTACCTGTCATCGCCTCATGTCAATGTTTATTTAATGTGAGCTCTCCCTAAAATAATAAATATGTTCCTGATTGATCTTGCTTAGCCTATAAAATACGACCAGTAAGTATATTACATCCCTTGCTTACTTTGTCAGATCTGCGTATGTGTAGTGGACTGAGCACACATACTCAAATAATATAAAGTGATAGATTCTATATCTATTATTATAATCATATTGTGTCTTCCATTGGCTCTAGACAAGCAGCACTATAACTCTAACATGTTTACAACAGTAGACCCATTAAAAAAAGGTATGGAGAGATGTTTTCATATTTTGTTATCTGAACCAAATTTTCGTATAGTTACGATTGTGAAAAGATAAGTCATAATCAAGCACGATTTAAAAAGTAGGCCTACTGTAATTGTAATATCAACGTTGTAACACGTTTATGATTTATCCTGGATTTATACTCCTCAAGTAGAATCTAATAGAAGTTGTAATTGAATATTATTCTCATGTATGTTTCGAAAGCCTAATAGTTATGTTTTTAATTCCATTAAACGTTTAAACACACTCCTACCTAGACATGTTCGACAAAAGCGTCGCTAGACTAATTGAGCTAATTTTTACTTGCATTTGCCAAATGGGTCTAGTCATTTCTTCGTTTCCTGACGGATTTAGACTAGTTTATGTTTCATATGTTCATATGGAGAGTGGACGATTCTGAAATAACGTGAACATGCTGCTGGGTATAACATAACGAATTTAGCTTTGAAATAGCATTGTAAAATATTAGGAGAGCATTATAAAAATGAATAGACAACAGGAAGTGAGGTGGTGGACTACTATCCTGGATAACCCCAAATATAGGTCTTCACAATGACCATGACAACAATAACACTTGAACATAGACCTACACCTCGTAATAACTGCTGTGAGGGATACTGACAAAAACTACCCATTGCAGTGTTATTGAATACCTATATCAGTGGCATTATACTGGCATTTAGTACCGACAGCAGTGTTATTGCGTACCCACATCTTCAGCACTAAGTACCACAGTAGTGATACTGAGCAACCACAAATTCAGCACTAAGTACCCACAGTAGTGATACTGAGTACCCACAGCAACGTTATCGATTACCAACAGCGCCAGCGCTGAGTACCCACAGCAGTTACACCAAGAACAGACTGCAGTAACACTGGGTACCCACAGCTTCAACAGTGAGTACCCACAACTTCAGCACTCAGTACACATGGCTTCAACACTCAGTACCCACTGTTTCAGCACTAAGTAGTCATAGCAGCAGTGGCAATATGTAGCTATAGCACTGTCATTAGTAATCCATAGCAGTATCATTTGAGTACGTACAGCAGTAACATGTAGTACAAATATCAGAAATATTGGGTACCATCAACAATAGCAGTGAGTAACCACAGAGTGACACCAAGTACCCACAGCAGCTGCATTGAGCATGGAAGAATATACAATTGCTGAACACTGTCATTATTTGACAGTATTTGTTCAGGTTGTTTGTGTGTATAGCAAATATAGGTCAAATGAGAAATACGCGTCTTTATTAGTTAACCTTGAATAGGAGTTCACGAAAATGACGTAACCGGGGACAACTAAGGCACTACCTATTTAAGAAAGCCCTTTCATATGCAGAGTGTTACTGCAGTGTAGTAGAATCACGACAGCAAGGCTTCAAAATACCTATTCTTAAGAGTTAGTCAGTGAGTTATGTAACTCTATGCCTGAGCTAATAAACTATAGTTTTCATGAATTTTACAAGTGAGTCTACATCTCCTTTCATTTCCGTATGTTTAGTTTGTGATATTCTATTTTTTGTGCGTGGATATTTAGAGAAACACGTGTCAGTAAAAATAGTAAAATGACCCTGACTAAATTAAAAAAAAATTACTGTTTTGTCCATAAGTGCCTGTTGTCGCAAATTCGCGACATACCGTAATTAGCATAAAAAATAAGTCCAAATTTAAAAATAACTATATACCTCAAATTCAGTGTTAGGTAGATGAGAGAAAATCAGCACAAATAATTGTTTACACGCTTGGAACATAATTCAGGCATTAAGTTAAACCATATCTCGTCATCAAAAGTTCTTTCAGATAAAGGGGACAATGCCCCCCCCCCCCTGCTCATCTCGTACATAATCGAATTGTTCACTTAGGGAGCATTTGTTAATACTTGGTGAAAAAGCAAATTCTAATTTTAAGTCATAAAGTTTATTTATTTTCAGATCAATTTAAAAGTTGGTTGGAGTTGAGGTGGTGATTTTGGTTTTGGTTTCGGTTTAGAGAAAAAGACAACACTATTGACCCCTACTATTTCTCCCTCAACGGGCCATGTATGTAGTCTAAATATAATAACCAATAGGGGCCTAGCAATATGTTACTTTAAAAATCAGGATTATCCGTATAGATTTGTATATTCAAGCTCAAATGCCTAACTATCGGCGGTTAACTTAGATTTGGAGTATTTAGACATGCAATTTCACACTAAGCAAACATATTTCCAAACATTAAAAGGAAATTACGGAGTTTATTTAGAGTGATTAGCCAACACAATGTTAAATTAACAAATTAAAATGGAAAAATCTGGACGTGAGTACAAATTTCTTATTTCTTGGCTTATTATAGTAGATTCATAAATCAGTGTTTGCAAGTTTAGAATATTAATTGAATAATAATTTTACTAAATAACTAAGAATGGAAAATCAAATATTCATGAACTAATATTTAACATCATTCTTATTAAAGTTTGGCATAACACTTCTGTACATCTGCTCATTTGTTTGATAAACAAAATTAAATCGAGCCACAGATAGGTGTATTTTAAATCATTTAGTATTTAACTTAGCTCTTCTCTTGGTATTTTTTATTTTTTTGTTTGGGGGGGGGGGCTTTATCCCCAATATATATATATATATATATATATATATATATATATATATATATATATATATATATATATATATATATATATATATATATATATATATATATATATATATATATATATATATATATATATATATATATATATATATATATTGGGGATAAAGCCCCCCCCCCAAACAAAAAAATAAAAAAAAAAATATATATATATGTATATATGTATATATATATATATATATATATATATATATATATATATATATATATATATATATATATATATATATATATATATATATATATATATATATATATATATATATATATATATATATATATATATATATATATATATATATATAATTTTGTGCTACTCGAAGGGAACTACCACCAACCTACCAACTTTCAACATTTGCACTATAGTGTGAGTGTTCTGTATCTGATGAGTTTATGTGTGTGACTTTATGTAAGTGATTCACCTTAACATTTTTTTATCATTTATGAGCTTTACTTCATCAGCCCCTTAAGCCGCCAGGTTCCAGAGCTTTATTTACTTTTTACTTACTCTTGCTCAGTATAACCTAGTCATGTGACTTAAAATAAAATCATGATAGTTCAAGCAGTTCTTTGTTTTAAAATAAGTTAATTAGTAACTGTCATTAAGAGATAACTTACATTGTTGGTGTCAATTGCCTAAACCACTGATTATATATTATGTATGTTTATGTGTCTAATAAAGTCCTGGGTGTGTTTAGGAAGTGATAAACGTAAATATTTTGTTATCCATTTCTGTTATGTTGTACAGTATAGCTGAAAGATAAGTTGTTGTTTTATAGATCTGCATATTGACAACAATGATGAGTCTGCCGATCCATTCCGTTAATTATTTATTACATTGAACCACTGTGAAATAAAAAAAAAAGATGTGTGTCTTTCAACACAGGCTTAACCCCAGGTGAAACAGACCAGCCAGGTAATTATTGTGGTCCACCACTTGCTGATAATGATGTACCAAGAGGAGATGTACCATATCCCCAACAAAAAGGTGCACAGCACACCCCTCAAGAAGGTGCACAGCACACCCCTCAAGAAGATGCACATCACCCCCCTCAAGAAGGTGCGCAGTACCCCCCTCAAGAAGGTGCGCAGTACCCCCCTCAAGAAGGTGCGCAATACCCCCCTCAAGAAGGTGCGCAATACCCCCCTCAAGAAGGTGCGCAATACCCCCCTCAAGAAGGTGCGCAATACCCCCCTCAAGAAGGTGCGCAATACCCCCCTCAAGAAGGTGCGCAATACCCCCCTCAAGAAGGTGCGCAGTACCCCCCTCAAGAAGGTGCGCAATACCCCCCTCAAGAAGGTGCGCAATACCCCCCTCAAGCCTATCCAGCTGGAGAAACAACATACCCCAATTACGCAAATTACTCAAATTACCCCAATTACCCAAATTACCCCAATTACCCCAATTACCCCATTGGGTCTCAACAGGGACAGTCTCAACAGACATCAAACACTGTTGTGGTGAGTACATCAATCAATCAACCTTTTCATTGTAAGTCAATTTTAAATTTGCGTATGACCGATTTCCCGAACGTACGTTTTCCCGATTTCTAAGGATTGTGTTTATTATTGTATTGTTAAATAATAATTCATCAAGAAATTCTTTAAATTTTTTTTTACTGTTATTGTTTTCGGTCAAACGGCCATCGGGCATGTGTTTTAGGCATTTGTCGGAAATCGGAGAAACGTCCATTTGGGCTTTTATCGTATTCGATCAAACGTCCATTCGGGAATATTGTCTTTGATTAAAAGGAATGCAGGCATTTGAACTTTTCAAGATCTACCTGTGTTTAACTCGACCATCTGTTAAAGATGTCCATTTATTAAAGATGTCCATCTATTTAAGATGACCATCTGTTTAACGTGTATATTAAAGCTGTCGATGTTTAAGACGTCCAACTCTATTTCTGGCTTTAGGTGACGCAGCCTACAGGAAATGATTCAGTAGTAACTGTCCCTGCGCCAACAGATCATATGTGTGCGGCCATAATTGTCACCTTCTGCTGTTTCTGGCCAACTGGAATTGTGGCCATTATTAAGGCCATTGACGTATGTACTAGCTTTGTTTGCTTTTTTAATCTGTCTGTTGTACTTTCACTAATACTAATTAGTCTTAGGCTTAACATTTACTTAAGATCGTACTGCTACATGTTGTTATATAAATACTTTTTGTCATGTCACTCTCTTCCACCTATTCTGTATTTTATTGACCTGACCAACTTCTATAAATATCCTTGACCTGATTGGTTCCAGGCAAGAAATGCCCTGGCTCGTGGAGACCTAGCGTCTGCTGAAGTTGACTCAAGATCTGCCAGAAGTTTGATCATCATCAGTGTTGTGATTGGCATAGTTGCTGTAATCATTTTGTTGGTGATTTTGATTACAGGATTGGCGTAGCTAGGATTTTCGGGCCCCTATTGCAAAAATTATCAATGGGCCCCTTCGTTAGAAATCGACTGCAACTTGCGAGGGAGGAGTTTTTCCAATAAAATAACTAATCTGCACATTATGTATTGTACACGTCCTGATTGAGTATGTATACCGTACTGTGTTATTATGTACTACCCCGTAACGTAAAGTGTATTTGATTTTATATCACTAGTATGTAAAAAGAAGGAAATTAACTGTAAGCCTGTAATATAAAAGTAACTAAACACAGTAATGTCACAAGGCGGGAGAAGTTCGGTCAAAAGTACGTTCTATCTAGTTAAGATAGTTTTAAAAATAAGGAGCGTGGGGTGACACCCCACCAAAAGCGCTAAATTATTGGAGGAAGTGGACGATGGGGTGACAGCTCCAGTATACGCACAGGTTAGCACGCGACCTTATGACGCCAATAACCAAACACCATTTTTTAAAAAAAAGTCGAGGCCTGCCTGGCTTATGGGAGTCCAACTCCTGAGCCGGTATTCCGTGTCATTTGAGTTCGACTTATAGGAAGGCTACTACTAAATCGACTAAGGTGTCCTATTGCACCTCGGCAGTCAAAGGTTAGCGCCCTGAGTTACCCAGCGGCTACCTTAATGCACGGGATCCGTTGATTGAATCAGGTGTATTACTTTATTCAACGGCCATACTGAAACAGGGGCGGCCTTCGACGGCCCTGGCTTAGTAATGACACTAGACACAAGAGTACCCTACACTACGGAAACGGTTAGCCTCTACATTCGATGATTAAACCGAAACAGGGGTTGCGCCCGGCTACATACGGTTGTGTAACCGGTCACTTCCGCGTTTCTCCTGACACCAGGGCCGTCGCCGAAAGGTGTTCAACCTCACTCATACGGAGGATAATTAACGTAAACTCAAGGATTTCATACAGCACGCCCAATGTCATCTGAGCGGTATTGTGGGTATTGTGGGGAGCCCAGCAACAAAGATCCGAGAAATATAGCACCTGTGTCGTTTACATTTTAACTATCTCAGTTTTAGAAAATAAAAATACACAATTGGTATCACATTCATAAAACCCTTATAAATTTTTTGTCACCCTGGTATATGGGACTAAGTCGCAGCAACGCTGACGTCTACGCAAGTTCCGTATCAAATTCTTTAACATTCCGTGGTGATCGGGAACAAATTGTAGATATGCCTTTTGGGTCAGTAACTTGGCCATTCTTAGTATCGAACATACAGAAGCAGCTTAAATGGATCTCAAAGAACGTATTAATTTTTTTGCAAAATTAAAAACATGAAAAAACAAATCTAAATAAAATCATACATTGCTACTAACCTCAACTGACAGAAAAAATTTGAAAGTTTTCGCCGTTTTACACCTCCCTACTTTATCATACCTATACGGAGAAAAAAGAATGCGTTGTAATTGTACACAATCTAAATCGAGATTTTTGACAAAGTTTGATGTTTTCAACCTTTTGGAGTCGGAAAAACTTAGTTTTGCAATGCCGCCCCTCTCTCTCTTTGTGTGTATGTTTGTTTGTCTGTGTGAGTATGTGTGTGTGTGTGTGTGTGTCTGTGTGTGTGTGTAATTGTAAACACGATATTTTAAGTACCGTTTAATTTAAGTTGACGATATTTCATATGTAATTATTATTTTAAATTTCTAGGTTTTTTTTCCAACAACTTTTGGACGTTTTACATTAACCGAAAGTGGCAGGCTACTAACTATACTTTCTCAAATGTCAATAACTAGAGCATTGTTTAAGTTAGGTGGACGCAATATCGTATGTAAATATTACAATGTATGCGCAGATTTCTTTCAACTTTTGAACGATTTCCTGTAACTGGAGCTGGTACTTATATCAGCGTAAACACAATAACTTGAGCACTAGTTTCAGTTAAGTAGACAAAATTTCACCTATAAGAATAAGACTCAATTTTAATTTTGAGTGACTTCCGATAAAATGAAGTGTTACTTTATTTTTATCTGGTTTCTAAAATATCGATAATTTGAGAAACCTTTCAATTTGGTGAGCGCAATAATTTGTATACATAAGTAAAAAATATCTTATTCTCTTGATTTTGAAATTTTTTGGTGATTATTGAAGACCGGAAGTAGTACTTGACGCTATTTCCTATTTCTCTAAAAAAAAGTTTACTTCTACCGGATCCATTTGTTTCAAATTTTTCACGCAGGTAAAGACTCGATGACAATGCACTTTGACATCAAATGTGACTTAATTAGATGTTTAATTAACTTTACAAAAATAAATTGATGTTTCCTTTATAAACGTGAGCGGGTGAATGGATGATTTATTTTCTATTATATTTTTGTGTGCGAATCTATGCGTGAATGGTCAACTGGAAAGCGGCTACGGGGGTTCCCCTTCCGGCCAAAGCGGGTATACAAACCGACTGACCGCTCGGATATTTTTTTCTTTTGACCCGAGTCGAGAATGTAGATCTGGTCACTTTCTATGTGGGCGCTTGGCGCACCTCTTGCGAGGAGTGAGGTTGCTTTGCAACTTGGCTGGGTGTTTTGTATGTATTGTTTTGTTGTTGTTTTGTCTATATGACGTGTGATTGGTGCGGATATTAGATGGCGTTTCGGTTGCCGTAAGGGATAGGATGGTTGTCTGTGTGTTCAGAGCCTAGACTATCCGAGGCATCGAAGCTACATAATATTCCATCGAGCGTTGTGTGTTTTGTTTGTTTAGTGTTTGTTTAGTAATTTGATTAAGATGTTTTGGATTTGATATAATGTTTACGTTTTTTATTGTTGGTTCCATTTTTAAATGTAAATAAAACTATAAGCTTATTTATTTTTTGTGTTTTGTATCTCGTCTACTCTAAGGTTAAGATTTTAACCAGTCTGGGTTTAGCCGGACTTGCACTGACCGGACAGTTTATTTAACCTAGGGAACCTAGGGAAGTAGATAGTAGTCACCCCCCCCCCAGGAGGGCTTACATACATCACTAATTTTCCGCTCAATGACGCACACGTTGTTTACGTTCGATTCCATTCTATTTAAAAATATTAAGTGTAAAAGTTTTTAATAAAAAAATATTTCTAGAACCTGATTGTAGTGGAAGTCTATCTCCACGCTGTTGACTCCACATCTCATTATTTTTTTCATCACCACCTAAGAGTCTCAGTTAATGGTTAATTGTAGCATAGGGTTCGCAAGTAATTGACGCCAGCCAAGTTTTTATCCTGCCCAGTATCTTAACCTGTAAGCACAAAAAAACAAGCCATTTAAAAAAAAAATTCTGTGTTAAAAAACTAACGAACAAACGGGCTTGTAAAAGGTATCAAACGAATTAACTATTTAGGCTTACGATTTGTGTTTGCCTTCAATGAACCAGGTTGTCTGTCCACTTACTAGCTATCACCTAATAGTTGCAACTGTAAATACACTAATACATAAAATCGTTTTTTCTCAAGTAAAGTTGTTATTGTTTAAGATTGTTAATATATACCTAGATCTACAGATTTATACATTTAATTGAAGTTTAATTGAACGAACATTGAGAAGTCCTGCTGTACTCAAAATGAACACCTTCAAATAATTTTTTCGGTTAAAAAATTGGAGACATCAAAGCAGTGCTAAAGAACAACATCAACAAAAAAAAAAAACTAGATATAGAAACAAAATTTTTTTCCTAAAAAAGTATATTGTAAAATTGATGTGTTAGAAAGGTGACTGTAAAGTTGATGTTTCATGAAATTGAATCAAACCCCTTCTAAATCTAATACCCATGAATCATTCGTTGGTAGGTCGGCAAAAGAGATGACTCAAGCCTAAGTGACAGGCGGTTATCTCCCGAAAATACAAAATAAATAACCTTATGGCAACAGAACGTGTAATTTAAAGCTCTTAGTACAACGGATACCAGTGGCAGAACACGGGGCAATTTTGATACGTAAGATGAACATAGACAAGGTCTACTTTTTTGGTGCAGCTGGACGAACAACGTGTTTTTGTCAAACTTCATAGATCTAGTAGCCGTAAAAATACATTAAATAAAGCACTCGTGTGCCGCGCAGTTGAAAACAAATATAGATACCAAAGTGCTATTGGGGGGGGGGGGGGGGGGCTCGGGGTGCACCTGGTCACGTGACTGGTTGGGCTACGAAGGACACTCTGGTAGTTTGCATGAAAGATGTAATCAATAAAGGTAAAACAGTGAAATTTTAGGGGAGATCACTCCTGCTTTATTTTAATCCACTAAAAAGGAAAAGAAAACCATTTTCTTTAAATATATTTTAATACACCACAATTGAAATTATAAGGAAAAGCGTCGACGCAATACACAATTTTGCGATACACGCTTCATATCGATAAGCCCGTACATCTGCTTCTAAATATTACAACCAGTATTAGCCTAGCAATATGTCGCATTTTTTTTTTAAAGAATCGGATTTCTAGGAAATTTATTTAGCTATTCAGGCGTAGCTACATTAACTAATAGCAAAGTTAGGACGGTTAAGTTGGGTGTAGACTATATACTCGTATGCTAGTAATTTCATTGTAAAAAAAACAAAAACATTTTCAAACATTTTAAAGCCTATAAAGGTGTTTTTTTAGAGTGATTAGCTAACATAAATTTAAAATAGCCAATTATAATGGAAAAATCTGCACGGGAGTACAAATTTTATTTTTGTAGTCTATTAGTAGAATTAAACCACCAATAAATGTTTATAAAATAATAACTTTATTAATGTAATTTTTTTACTAACTAACAAAGGATAGCATTCTAAACTTCCTGAAATAATTTTATTTGTTTTATTATTAAAGTTTGTTTTTGATAAAATTTGGTTAGTTCATCTGTTTGTTAAGTAGTGTCACACACACTCACACACGCAGACGCAAAAGCACTCGAATACTCAGACGCACACGCGCACGCACGCTATATATATGAGATGGAAAAGCAAGCGGAAATGAGACTTAATAACAATATAATATATTGTTAAACTTAAAGGCCCATCACCAGCGTGGAGTGACTTGATGGAAAGAGAAGTTTTCTTCTTACCTGACGTTTACAAGAAGTCAAGATGTGCATGCGCTGACATGAAACTATTACTTGGAGTAATTGTGTCCTTGGAAATATATTTGTTGACAATTTCAAGTTTGCGGTTGAGTGTGAGTGTTTTTCTTTGTAACAGTTGGAACTTTTAATTTTATTTGAATTAATCTCCCAATAACCCCCCCCCCCCCCTGAAAAACTTTTAAATTTTCCCCGTTCATCGACTACAACAAAATAAATAAATAAATGAAGAAAACTTTTAGATAAAAGCAAGACTGTTAAAATTTATACTAAATTGTTTTCAAACAGGTATGAAAATTAATTTTTAAAAAATCACAAAAAAAACCCAGCGTTTTAGTAACAAGCTTTTATGTAATAATGCACACAAAATTAGAAAATAAATGACTTTCTTTAATGATATAATACTACACAACTATTTAAATTAGTATAAAGAAAAGCGTGGGTCCCTTTATTATCACAGAGAGAGAGACACACACTTCAAATCGATAAGCCCGTACATCTGCTTCTAAATATAACAACCAGTATTAGCCTAGCAATATGTCGCATGGCATTTTTTAAAAAAAGAAACGGATTTCTAGGAAATTCATTTATTTAATCTGGCGCAGTTACACTAACTAACAGCAACGTTAGGACGGTTAAGTTAGGTGTAGACTATTTACTCGTATGCTTGTTATTTCATTGTAAAAAAACATTTTCAAACATTTAAAAGCCTATGAAGGTTTTTTTTTATATAGTGATCAACTAACATAAGTTTTAAATAGCCAATTATAATGGAAAAATCTGCACGTGAGTACAAATTTGATTTTTTTTCTCATAAATGTCATAATAAGGGTTTACAATTTTACCTGTTAAAGAGACGTAACTGCGTCATGTAAACTTTTAAAATTTTCCCGTTCATTTACACACACACACACACACACACACACACACACACACACACACACACACACACACACACACACACACACACACACACACACACACACACACACACACACAAAATTCATAATAAAAGCTTTAACAAAAAGCTTTTATGTAATAATGCACTAAAAGTAGAAAATAATTTGTTTACTACTATTTAAATAACTATAAAGAAAATCGTGGGTCTCTTCCTAAATATTAGTTAAGGTATCCAAAAGAAACCTTAAGTGACCCACGCTTTTCTTTATAGTTATTTGAATAGTAGTGTATAATTTATTTTCTACTTTTTAGTGCATTATTACATAAAAGCTTTTTTACTTTCTCGTATATACGAAGTATAGGGAAAGTATTGTAATCGTGCAAAAAAAAAATCGAGATTTTTACAAATCTCGACGTTTTACATCTCACTGATACGGAAAAACATAATTTTGCAATCTTGTCCGTATGTCTGTGTGTGTGTCTGTGTGTCTGTCTGTCTGTGTGTGTGTGTGTGTGTGTGTAAACACGATAACTTGAGTACCATTACAGCTAGGTTGATGAAATTTCATATATAAGTATTTTATCAAAATCGTAGATCCGTATCAACTTTTGAGCGATTTCCGATAACCGGAAGTAGTACTTTTTCTACTTTGAATTTTTCAAAAGCCTATATTTTGAGTACTATTTCAGATAGATAAATGAAATTTCATATGTGAGTAAAAGATCTAATTCTCTTCCTTTTATTAAATTGTGAGTTATTTCCGTCGACCGGAAGTACTAATTTACGCTATTTCCGATTTCTCAAAAAAAAAACGCATGTAAATTTATAAGGTACTAATAATATTGCGCTCTATTATGCACATTTTGTTTTGGCGTTCGCTTGGTGCGAAATTCTTTTTTCTATGAGATTTTATTCTATTTTTAGAAGTTTAAGTAATTAAAAATCATGTCTATATTCCATGTTATATAAGAATATTCGAGAAAGTTTAGGGGAGATCACTCCCGGTTTATTAAAAACGTATTTCTATGAATTTTTTTTTCAGTACTTTAAATAAAAAAAAAATTTACAATGGAAATGCATGACTAAAAACCATTGCGCACTTAATGAACGTGATGACGCGTGTATAATAGTGCGAAATTGTTGGGCAAGACTGCCTACTAATTTGGTCAAAATTTGAATTAATTCATAACAAAATTAATTAGGCAACCAGTTACGTCAAATCTAATGTCATGTTACATTGTCTTCATGTCTTGACCCATGTGCTAACGTTGAAATAAATCTGTAAGTTAGAAGTGTCCAAAATTTCGCTCGGGCGTTTCTATCTAGACAGACTGACGACAGACTGACGACAGACTGACGACAGACTGACGACAGACTGACGACAGACAGAGGAAATAAGTTAATTTTTTTTTCATAAAAAACGTTTTAATATCAAGCTTTTATGTAATGATGCATTTAAAAGGTAAAAAAAAAAGTATGCGCTACTATTTAAATAACTATAAAGAAAAGCGTAGGTCACTTTAGTATCTATTGGATACCTTTAATGATATTTAAGAAGAGACCCACGCTTTCCTTTATAGTTATTTAAATAAAAGCGTTTAATTTATTTTGTAATTTTTAAATGCATTATTACATAAAAGCTTGATATTGAAACGTTTTTTAATGAATTTTTTGTCAGTACTTTATCTTAAATGTTTAAAATTTATATTAAAGTTGCATGACTAAAAACCATTGCGCACCTATTGAAAGTGATGGCGCGTGTTTAATAGCGCGGAATAATTTGATGAAACAGCCTACTAACTTGGACACAATATTAATTAGTTTATAAAGAATTAATTAGGCAACCAATTAAGTGAAACTTAATGTAATGTTGCATTGTCTTCATGCCTTGACCCACATACCAACTTTGAAACGAATCTGTCAGTTAGAAATTAGACAGACTGGAAGAGCAAGCAAGTTAAATAACTTGTTAAGAACATTCATTAAAAAACGTTTTAATAATAAGCTTTCTTTTTATTAATTTAAATAGTAGTGTTGTTATATATTTAAAAAAATATTTATTTTCTACTTTTTAGTGCATTATTACATAAATGCTTGTTATTAAAACGTTTTTTTATGAATTTCATTGTTCAAAGCTTTAATTTTTACTTTCTCGTATATACGAAGTATAGAAAAAGTCTTGTAATCGTGCAAAAAAAAATAATCGAGATTTTTGCAAATCTCGACGTTTTACACCTCACTGATACGGAAAAACATAATTTTGCAATCTTGTCCGTATGTCTGTGTGTGTGTGTCTGTCTGTCTGTCTGTGTGTAAACACGATTACTTGAGTACCGTTACAGCTAGGTTGATGAAATTTCATATATAAGTATTTTATCAAAATCGTAGATCCGTTTCAACTTTTGAGCGATTTACGATAACTGGAAGTGGTACTTTTTCTACTTTGAATTTTTCAAAAGTGTAATGGATTGACGATAGAAGCATGTGGTTGTATATAAAACGTTTATTGGCCTTCAACTACATGATGATAACGAGAGAGGGCGGAAGTGACGAGAGACAAAGATATATATACATGTAACGGACATCACTCAAGATAACAGTATAAATATAATACTAATACAAGAAGAGTGAGTTCCCTTGACTTCACAAGTCTCACTATATTACAAAAAGCCTATAACTTGAGTACTATTTCAGATAGATAAATGAAATTTCACACGTTAGTAAAAGATCTAATTCTCTTCCTTTTATTAAATTGTGAGTAATTTCCGTTGACCGGAAGTAGTGATTTACGCTATTTTCGATTTATCAAAAAAAAAAAAACGAATGTAAATTTTTAGAGTACTAATAATATTCCGCACTATCATACACATTTTATTTGGCGTTCGCTTGGTGCGCAATTGTTTTTTTATGAGATTCTATTCTATTTTTAAAAGTTTAAGTATTTAAAATGGATTAAAAATCATAATTATATCCCCATTTACCATCCCCTGTTGTTTTATATAAGAATATTCGAGAAAGTTTAGGGGAGATCACTACCGGTTTATTTTGTTTTAAATTTACAATAAAGTTTCATGACTAATTACAATTGCGCACCTAATGAACATGATAACGCGCGTATGATAGTGGGAACAGTTGGAGAAGACAGCCTAAAACTTGACACAACTTTGAAACGAATCTATCAGTTAGAAGTGCCCGAAATTTCACTCGAGCGTTTCAATCTTTGACGACAGACAGGCTCTCGACAAACTGACGACAGACAGAGAAAGAAAGTTAAGTAAAAGCTTGTAAAATAAACCACTCAATTTTACCCATTTAAGGGGATAAAACTGCGTCAGAAATTCAACGAGATTCTATTCTATTTTAAAAAGTTTAAGTAATAAAAAATGGATTAAAATCATATCTATATCCAGAGTTGCCATCCTCCATAGTGTTGTATAAGAATATTCGAGAAAGCTTAGGGGAGATCACTCCCGCTTTATTAATTAAACGTTAGTCTTTGCGATTGATTGCAATGACGGTGTATCATTGGCGTCGTTAGGTCGGATGTCACCCGGTGCTGCACTTCGTGGTGTCTCCTCCCCACCCCCAACAGAAAAGTATATATATATATAAGCCTCATCACACCCCGTACCTGACATCCCACCCCTGCGAGTGTGACGCCATTTATGAATGACCCATAAAGGTAATTTGCCTATGTTCTGCCCATACAACCCAAGCCTGCCTGAGCACGTTAAGGAGTATTTGGCGTGAATAAAAGATCTATTTTGGCACAAAACTCAAGCGGTCATTGGTCATGTCTTTCTTGCTGTATCGATGCGAGGCAATGACCCTCAATGCCGATATCCAGCGACAGATCCAAGACCAGAGAAGAGATGTTTACACCGACTCCCAGAGTTATCATACAAAGTGCCAGGAGGGAGCAGATGAAGAAGACAAAGACGAGGAAGGAGGACACCCAGGAGTAGACTAGGCTGCACATTACAGAATTACATAACTCAGCAGAAGACGGACGAAGATTGCAGAAAATTATGAGAACATCAACTGTGATGCCACACAATCCCAGGGGTTCAACTTCATTCACTCGGTGCGGTCACAGGTCTATAATCTTACCCAGAATATACCTAGGTATGACATTAATGTCGCTCTACACAATTACGGCATGTCCCATTTAGTTGTTGAGGCGAGGTGGCGTCTGGGGGATAAACAACTCAGAGTGAACATAGCGTCAGTTTTTAGATGGCTGTAATAATATCTAAACATACTGATACATACCAACGCTATGCTGCCTCCGCTTATATAAACCTTTATTTAAATCTTGCGTCAACACAGTTAGTAATTACCTAAGTGAAAGTATTCTGGTGAAATATATGTATTATATTTTTTCATCAAGAAAGTTCTACATTTTAAAACCTAATTAATCATTATTATAAAACAAATACAAAATGATCTTTTTGTCTGATAATAAAAATCTGTGAACCTTCTAACACACATTTACCTTCAGAAGAAAAAGCCCAGCTAAGCAATGATAATGACCCCCCACCAGTTTATAGTGAGACTCCCATGGGAGGTGCACCGTATTCTAATGATGGTGCACCTTATCCTTCTGAAGGAGGTGCACAGTATCCACCACAGAAAGGTGCACTATATCCCCCACAAGGAGGTTCACTATATCCCCCACAAGGAGGTACAGTGTATCTCCCTCAAGGAGGTTCACAATATCCACTTCAAGCCTATCCAGCAGGAGGAACGACATATCCTAATTATCCTTATATCCCCGTGGGAGTTCAACAGGGACCGAGCCAGCAGACATCGAACACTGTTGTGGTAAGTGTAAGTAGACCTACATCAATAGACCAGCTAACAATGTTATGATAAGTCAACTTTAAGTTGTGGTAAGTACATCAATTAACCAAATAACAATTTTATGACTGTCACAGAGAAAGGTTAACATTTATATAAGATAAATTTACCTTAATACAAAAAGATAAATGTTTGGTTTATTAATGTGTCAAAGAAAGTTGTTAAATTAAAAAAAAAATCACATTGAATAATGAAATAGTTTGTTCTGGCCAAAAATTGTCAAATTTGGTGGAGTGCGGTTATGATAGACTTTTTTAAAAATGTAGCTATAATAGTTGTTTCCAAATATGTGTATAATAGTTGTTTCCAAAACAAAAAGTGAATATTACAGGGAAAATTTGTTAGGTAAATTTGTCCTAAATTATTTATATAGAATTGAAATTCACATGAAATCTTTTCCTTAAAAATGTTAAATTATTTGAAATGTTCATCTATATTTTATAGATGTTCTTCTATTCAACATGTCCATGTACAAAAGACGTTCATATCTTTATTACAAAGTACTTCTAATTAAGACGTCCAACTCTGTTTCTTACTTTAGGTTGTGATGCCTACAGCAAACGAGCCAGCAAAGAATACAGTTGTAACCGTCCCTGTGCCCCCTGATCAAATGTGTGCGGCCATATTTGTCACCTTATGCTGTTTCTGGCCAACTGGAATTGTGGCCATCTTGAGGGCCAGTAATGTATGTACCAGCTTTTTAAATATTGCACTTTCAATTACTCTAATTAACCTTGTACTTTCAAATATGTATACAACACAATCCAAATTTACAAACATGAGTAAAACTGAACAATGTAAAGCATATTATAGACCTACATGTTAAAAGTATTCAAAAAGCTTTAGATCTTAAATTGTAAAAACAGAAAAAAAGCCTTTTGAATACTTTTAACATGTTTGGCACACGGAAGTAAGTAGGCCTATTAAGTATAAAAAAAAGGGTTAAAAACAATTTTAATGTTCCATTTTGAATTTTGTGGTACTTTTTGAGATATCGGAAATAGCGTAAATTACTAATTCTGGCCAACGGAAATTACTCAATATTTGACACAAGGCAGAGAATTAGATTTTTACAAATTTGTGAAATTTCGTTTATCTATCTGAAATAGTAGTCAAGTTATAGGCTTTTGAAAAACCAAAAGTAGAATAAGTTCCACTAACGTTTACCAGAAATCACTGAAAAGTTGATAGAGAACTGCAAATTGATGTGATACTTATATATCAAATTTTATCAACCTAGCTGTAACGGTACCTAAGTAATCGTGTGTACAGACACATACACTCACACACTCTCACACACACAGACAGACACACGGACAGAATTGCAAAGCCCAGTTTTCCCGAGTCGATTACGTATAGAACGCTGAAATTTTGATAAATCTGCATTTATTAATTTTGCCCAATTAAAATAAGTCCCCTATACTCCGTATATGATGAAGTACTGAGGTGTAATTTGACGAAAACTGTCAAAATTTCATGTGATTTTTGTGCAAGATTACAATACTTCATGTATACTTTGCATACAAGAAAGTAATAAACTGACCTGATTTGTTCCAGGCACGAACTGCCCTGGCCCAGGGGGACTTAACGTCTGCCCAAGTCTACTCAAGAACTGCCAGAAGTATGGTCATCATCAGTGTTGTGCTGGGCATTATTACCTACATCCTTATTATAATAATTACAAGTGCTAGCTAGTTTATTTAGTGGAGTTTTCATACAACTGCTTCAAATGTATTTAAAGTTCTCAGGTATAGCAAAAAGATGCTTACAATATTTTTAAATATCTACAGCTGTCTGAATTAGAATTCATACAAACATAGCAAATATTAGTAGATAGTAGTTTTGGTCATTAAGTGGTTTTTTTTTTTTTTACATTTTTCCATCCTAAAAGTATTTTGATTCTTACTTAAACTAGACTTTTTAAATGAGTGAAAGCCAAATGGCTGGGGCACAATTTACTTTTAACTGTTTTGACTGGTTTTGCGGAAAGACTTGTTCATGAGTGGTCTGGCTGTGTCTAAGCGGCTCCGGAAATAAATAAAAACCTGTCAGTCCCAACTGAAATTTTTTTGTAGTGCATTTTTATTCCGTCTCAAGCCTGAGGATGGATGCTTACAAAATGAAAGGTCACTTTTTCAAATACATTATACAGACATGCCAAAAGCAGAACTGTTCCGTTTTAAAAAATAAATAAATTCGTGTCCAGTTCCACCATTCCTGTTTTGTTTGAAGTTTATTCCGCTTTATCGATAAAAAGATATCGTTGCTATATATATAAAAAAAAACGATTTTCATATAGCACAAAATTAGGCGTATGGGCAGTAACATGGACAAACCAACGCCATAACAGCTCAGATCCAAGAAACATAGTTCTGCTTTCTTTACATTTAAATAACTCTGTTTTAGACAACAAGGTCACGTGTCTAAAATTACACATTATTAACACAGTGATGTAATCTTCTTCAAGCATGGCGTCAGCCCGCAGCAGCGCGCGGGACGGGATCGCTAGTAATCAATAAAGAAAAAAATCGAGAGCAGTCTACGTGCAACAAGATGGAACCTTCAACAGACATTGCCTCGGTGGATGATACCCTTGTAAGATGAACAATACAATTCTAACTAGTGTGTAAGAGTGTGTGAGGTTGTGTGTGAATATGTGTGTGAGAATGTGTGTGTATGCGTATGAGTATGTGTATTTCAGTGTGTGTATGAGTATCGGTTTAGGAGTGTATGTGTGTGTCCTTGAACCTATCTTTCGTCGTTAATTTTTACTAAAATTTTAACAACCATACCGGCTGAGAAAAAACTACTCAATACGCGTTATCTATGTTGATACAAACAAAAAAAAATACCCCGAAATGCTTGTTATTATTAATATCATGCATTTTAGTCATTACAAAATGTCATGCTTCAAACCTGTCAAAACTGAAGGAAGAATTATCACTCAAGATGTCAAGGCAACGTTTGGACTTCAAGGGGTATCAGACGATAACAGTGTGGTTATCAGAACCACATTGAGACTCGAGGGCCGCTTCAGATGTTTCTTTTATCTCACCGTCTTGTCGGCTGTAGGGTACCAGATTCAGTGGGATTTCCCAATTATGTCGGGTATGACATAATCTGGTGAATGGCTCATAAGGGCTTTTCACAAGATTTCAGTTTTCTTGTCTCGGGTTTATGGAAAAATCTTGTAGCTCAATTTTGACCACCTTCTAATGCAGCGATTTCGTTCAAATTTTCCAGAAAACTTCGTCTTAGAGGGCAACACATAAATTTATTTAAAAAAAATTAGTTAGATGTTAAATTATTCAGTGACATCTAATTACACGTTTTCGAAACTAAGGGGGCATAACAAGATTAAATGCTAACGATAACTATAAATTCAGTAACAGAAGGGGAGATAACTATATAGAAGCTATCACCAGAACAGTCTGGTGAGCTTTAGTTCACGCCGAATGTTAACAATAGTAGAGCTGGGTCGAATTGGCGAAGGCTATTAGGGGTAGATAATATAGTTTTCAAACGATTTGAAACAAATTACAAATTTTAAAGTACTGAAATAGCATAATAATCGTTTTAATAACAAACTTTTAATGTATTAATGCCCTAACAAGGTGAAAATAAATGATTTTTAAAACCTATAATACATTACTATTTAAATAACTATAAAAACATTGTCAACTATGGTTTTTTTCAAAAAAAAAAAAAAAAAAAAAAAAACTAACAGTTTCGTCACAAATTTCTATATTTCTACAAAACGATTGCACTGGGCATGCCATCCCAAACCTTACCGATATAAGTACCATTTGCGCGTTGCTGGGATCTCAGGACTGACTTGATAGAAAAAGGCGCCTTCTTCTTACCTGACGCTTACAAGAAGCCAAGGTGTGCATGCGCTGAAATAAAAAAAATATTAAGTATTTACTTGGAGTAATTGTGTCCTTGGAAATATATTTGTTAACAATTTCAAGTTTGCGGTTGAGTGTTTTTCTTTGTAGCAGTTGGAACTTTTAATTTTATTTGAATTAATCTCCGAAAAAGCCTGGGAGAAAAACTGATTCTATTTCTATAAAAGCAAGTTGGGGGTTGTTTGTTTGTTCCTCAAACCTATTTCATCAGGTACAAAAAGAGAAGTTGCTGGGAAATTGTCCTTGACAAAGTTTAATGTTCACTCAAATTTTAAAGGGAAAATTAAACCCCATCTCAATGTCGAGTTTGAAGTGACCAAAAACTGACCTAGACTGACAGCGGCCTTATATAAACTATATATATATATATATATATATATATATATATATATATATATATATATATATATATATATATATATATATATATACTTGAATATACTTAGATAGACCAGTTGCAGATGCGACAAAAACTTGATATTTGGTAAAGAGATATCCAGATTAACTGTGTCAGTTCAACATTTTAATTTTCACCATTCTTTGTGTGCACAAAATAAATAAATAAACGGAAAAAAAACATTTGGATAAAAGGAAAAACTTCTTTAAAATTTATACTACATTGTTCTCAAACAGGTATGAAAATTAATTTTTTAAAAATCACAAAACAAAAGTTTTAGTAATGAGCTATTTTGTAATAATGCACTAAAAATTTGAAAATAAATGATTTTCTTTAAATATATAATACTACACTACTATTTAAATATAAAGAAAAGCGTGGGTCACTTTATTATCGCAGAGAGACACACACTTCATATCGATAAGCCCGTATCTCTGCTTCTAAATATAACAAGTCATATTAGTCTAGCAATATGTCGCTTGACCTATTTTTTTTTAAGAATCGGATTTCTAGGAAATTCATTTAGCTATTCAGGCGCAGCTACACTAATTAATGGCAAGATTACGACGGTTAAGTTTGGTGTATTCTTGTAATTTCGTTGTAAAAAAAAACATTTTCAAACATTTAAAAGCATGTAAAGGTTTTTTTTTAGAAAGATCAACTAACATAAATTTTAAATAGCCAATTATAATGGAAATGTCTGCACGTGAGTACAAATATTTTTTTACGTAAATGTCATAGTAAGGGTTTACAGTTTTACCTGTTAAAGAGACGCTAATTCGATAGATTTAAAGAAAGTCATTTATTTTCTACCTTGTAGTGCATTATTACATAAAAGCTTGTTATTAAAACGTTTTTTTTATATATAAATAAACCGGCAGTGATCTCCATTAAACTTTCTCGAATATTCTTATATAATACAACAGGGGATGGGAACTCGGGATATAGTTATCATTTTTAATCCATTTTAAATAGTTAAACTTTTAAAAATAGAATAGAATCTCATCGAAAAAGAATTGCGCACCAATCGGAAATAGTGAAAATTACTATTTCCGGTATACGGAAATTACTCAAAATTTGACAGACGACAGAAAATTAGATCTTTTACTTACATGTGAAATTTCATTTTTCTATCTGAAATAGTACTCAAGTTATAGGCTTTTGAAAAATTCAAAGTAGAAAAAGTTCAACTTCCGGTTATCGGAAATGCTATGCTGCTTCCGCTTATCTAAACCTATATGTAAATCTTTCGTCAACACAGTTAGTAATAACCTATGTGAAAGTATCCTGGTGAAATATAGGTAATATATTATTTCATCAAGAAAGTTCTACATTTCAACAACCTCAGTAATCATAATTATTAACCCAATACAAAATTATCTTTTTGTCTCGCACCGTATTCTAATGATGGTGCACCATATCCTTCTGAAGGAGGTGCACAGTATCCACCACAGAAAGTGTGCAACAAATATTTACAGCTACTCATCCAACGAGCATTTTGTTTTTTTATGACAGTGGCGCCTTTTTTTTGGAAAATAAAAATAAATTAAAGCAAGCTAGAATAAATCATTGATGATTTGACTAAATTAATGAATGTGAAATTGAGGCACCTGTACATTCTTGCTGACAGTGGTGAGGCCTAATGAAGGGAACTAGTCTTGTTGTTGGCATCGGTACCTGATTTCTGGTTCCACGAAGGGGCCTAGAAAACAGAAACAGGTGATGAATAAGACACACCCTCGGAAAGACAGTTAATAACACCACTAGGCAGAATCCACGGGAGAAATTGGAGTACAAAAAAGCCACGAAAGAGACCGTTTGAAAGAAAGATGAAAAAAGTCACCAAAGAGATCGTTTGAAAGAGAGGTGGGTAAGGCTGGATTGTCAGGGCTTGAGTTTTAAAAAAAACAACAACTCAAGTTAGGATTTAAGGAGCCGAAATGTATTAAAAAATGAAAATCAGAAGTGTTCAAAGGATTGTTTGAAGCAGTTGGTTTTTTTTAAAGTAAATAAATCGGGCATCCGGAGACCCGACAATTTTGTTTTACTACGTTATTTTTTACAAGGAATAAAGTACTAGCAACCTTACTATTTCATAGATTTCATACCAATAATAATAGGTGATTCCAGTCTAATTCCTCTTCTACATTTTTCTGATGCACACTTTCATGCCACTATCACATCTGCTTCCTAAACGAGTATATAATGCTAGCATCCTAGTGGCCCATTTCAAGATGGAACTGTTCCAGGAACATCACGGACTATAGTATTAAGATCAGGAGGAATGAGAGCAACAATCAACATTGCATCTGTTGCTGTTTGACAGGAAACATTGCATCTGTTGCTGTTTGACAGGAAACATTGCATCTGTAGCTGTTTGACAGGAAACATTGCATCTGTAGCTGTTTGACCGGAAACATTGCATCTGTAGCCCTTTTTAACAGGACAGCAGGACGGCAATTTGATGGAGAGCAGAAAAAAGATATCAGAAAGAAGAACATTTCTAGAGAAAGGTGCTAACGCAGCTGGTAAATGTTATCCTATTTGTGTGTTGTATCTGACTTTCTTTAAAGTGTCTGAGACGGAGAATGTTTGAATTTACATGTTCATGTGACTAAGTACCTGGGTGTTCACGTTTAGACAGATCTTTATTCTACTACCAAATAGGCCTACCCTACTGTCTACATTGATAACTAGACTTCAGCGCTCTCCCTTTAATATATGATTAGGGTATTAAAATACTTGGTTAAGACTTTAGGGAGAGCTCATAGCCTACTTAAAAAAAATACATCAAGTACATCTAGTAAAAACAAGAGAAAAATCGCGAAAGCGAATTGTTTTTGAAATAATACATATTGAAAAGGAATGGGTGAACAGTACCCTGATCTAGCTCGTTCTAATTCGGCGTGGTCGAGTCGGTAAAGCTCATAGTTGCAGAACCGAATTGTTACGAGCTCGAACCCTCGGGCAGAAGAGGCTCGATTGCTGGAGACAGCAACTCTTCTAGGAGAGACAACTCCAAAATCAAACAACTGCTGCCTTGTAGTTTCTTCTTTTTTGGACAAAGGCTATGGAAGCAAAGAGAAGCAAACTGACATTGGAATCAACTGCCTATATGGCGCATAACAAGTTGATCTTTATGAGCTATATATCGAAAAAAAAATCCTACTTACAAACCCCACAAAAAAAAAACAATGTTATCTTTGGGAAAACTTCGATAGACTTTTAGAAGTGACCAGTCCGAAGTAACCTTTCCGTTTGCCGAAAATGGTTAAAAATTGACGGAAACTTACGTGTAATTTCGTCCAACTAACTGGAGAATTATTACACACGTTATCGGTATTTTATAAGTATTACTTCCAGTAATCAGAGATTGTTCAATAGCTTAAAGAAAAAATAAATTGAATATTATACTTATATGCGACATTTGGTTAACCTAACTGTAACGGTACTAAAACTATCGTGTTTACATACACAAACACACACAGACAAGATTTGTTTTTTTGGACTCAGGAAGGTGTAAAACGGCAAGATTCGTTAAAATCTCGATTTCAATTTTTTTGCACGATTACAATACTTCATCTGTTGTGAACACGAACACGCCTTTACTGGTGATCCAGTGCGTCATGCAACATATAAGACGAACAGCAGCAAACGGGTTACAAAATAAGACTAAATAAAACAAAGGCTCGTTAACACTAAAAGAGTTTAATGCTATCTACACCATCTACACAACACAGTCTGTTCTAAATATACATACATAAGCTAGTACACAAACTAAGATACAGTGACTATCTAACACTACAGAACTAGCCTACAAAAACTAAGATACAGTGGCTATCTAACAGTACAGAACTAACCTACACAAACAAAGATACCGTGGCTATCTAACAGTACAGAACTAACCTACACAAACTAAGATACAGTGGCTATCTAACAGTAGAGAACTAACCTACACAAACTAAGATACAGTGGCTATCTAACAGTACAGAACTAACCTACACAAACTAAGATACAGTGGCTAACTAACAGTACAGAACTAACCTACACAAACTAAGATACAGTGGCTATCTAACAGTACAGAACTAACCTACACAAACTAAGATACAGTGGCTAACTAACAGTACAGAACTAACCTACACTAACCTTATGGGAGAACTGGACTAAACTGACGCTGAGGTGAATCACACACGTACTCACACACCTTACATACCCGTAGACAAATAGGTACAAACCGGACTGTCACAACTCACAACACAAGGATTGAACAGGGACGAAGGGGACAGGGTACAAAGTATAAATAACATTCACCCCCATTCACCCCCTTCATTCATTCACTATATCCTGTATACTCCGCTTACGAGAAAGTAAAATACATTAATTAGAAAGTTGCCTTTAAAGTTTGATGTTACAGAAAATTAACTGTAAAAGTTATGTTTTAGAAAACGACTGTAAAGTTGATATTTTAGAAAGTTGACTGTAAAGTTGATGTTTTAGAAAATGACTGAAGATGATGTCCCATGAAATTGAATCAAGTCCTTCTAAAACCCTGAATTATTGGTAGGTCTGCAAGGGAGATGACTCCAGCCTGAGTGAAAAGTGGGTTAACTCCCGTAAACTCCAAACTAATGAGGTGAGGGCATCAGCACGTGTAATTTAAAGCTCTTAGTCCAATGGAGGGGCTCACCGGGTGGTCATTTCGGGGAGGGAAGGACAGCAACGCGGTTATTTCGCCACACGACTTAGCCAAGTGTATTATGGGTAAGCATTAATTATCCCGCAAACCGCATCTAGCAGACGACTCGTCTGAGCCAGCAAGATCTTGTCTTTACTTCTGCTAATGTTTAAAAGTGTGACATTTTAGACTAGGTTTGACAATTTAGACTAGGTGGGACATTTTAGACTAGGTGTGACACTTTAGACTAGGTGTGACAATTTAGACTAGGTGTGACAATTTAGACTAGGTGGGACAATTTAGACTAGGTGTGACAATTTTGACTAGGTGTGACAATTTAGACTAGTTGTGACAATTTAAAGAGCAGAGAGGTTGTTTGTTCATGAGAATACGTGCATAAAACATCCACACAGAAAATCCGAATCCAAATGTGTATTAAATACAGCAGCAAGGTTTTAAGCAACTGCGTCAAGCCATTCACTTTATTCTAACGGAGTAGAGTTTACCTGACTCTGTGACCTCGGCACATGAGGGAATAGTGTGGTCATTTGTATAACCAGCCTCATAGCGTGAGGCAGGTAGTGGGTGGACAAGTCCGGGATCCGAACTCGAGACTTTCACGTTATTAGTATCGCGCTCTACCGTAGGACCACTGTAAAGTCTATCCTTTATGTGATTCACTTAGTGCATGTGTGTTAATGTTGGATTCTGTGGGCATCAGGTAGAGTGAGTATCCAGTAGACTTGTTATAATTTTTCTGCTTTGCTATCGTTATAATTCATCAAGTGTTTCATCAATACATTTCACCAACCTTGAGGAACTAAGTGAAACAATAACTAGAAATGATGTGAGTGCAGTAAGATATTACCTTGTACTGAGAGTGTAAACATAATACGTATAATTATTTTTGACGAAGATTAGCATATCGTAGATCACGTGACCATGTCCTCCACACCCCCCCCCCCCCACCCACACACAGTTCCTGCGGCTTCCATCAACCGTCACATACGCAGCCAATTCTTCAGGCACCAGCGCACTGAGAATTCAATTAACTGAGTCTTCCGTATCTCGCGTTTTTTTTTATTTTCTCGAGCCACGTAAGATTTCCTGTTATAACGCCATCAAATACAGAAACATTGAAATCAGTTGTGGAGCCACGCCCAACCATCTCTCTGTGTTCTAGTTTTATCATTAATTATTAATCAATAAATTAAATTACGCATGTCTAACCTTTCACAAAAATAAAATATCAACAATTTGTTTTAAAATTCGAGACATATTGAATGTCAAAACGAAAATTTTTGGTTTAATAATGATGATAGTAACATAAATTGATAGAATCGATTTCCTATGATTGTGCGTGATTTGTCGTCATACAACACGAATGGGTGGGGGTAGGAGGGGGGGGGGGGGTAGGAGATGGCGTCGGCCGGTCGGTCCACCCTGAGCCAGCCTGTTTGTGATCCAACCAATTCCAGAACACAGGCAGACGACAGGGGACTTGTTGTTGTTTTCGCACAACTACAGTAATCGATTACTCATCACCGCTGGCACCTCGCCAGCCGGAAATCGTCCACACTTCTCCAATCAATAACATACCAACAGTATTGTAAATTTAATTACATTTTTTTACAGAAATAATTCCACGGGGTTGATTTGTCGGGGTTTTAATGTATCGGAAATCAATGTTAGTATCGATACCGAGTTGTGTGGTTTCTGGTGGGAGTAAAGGAATGAGGTAGACGGGCAAATAGCGAGTATCGATCTGGAGGTATTTTTACAGGCCGGTGTCTGTGAGTCGACACATCCTCCCGTATTGGAGGCGCGGCCAGGCCAGCTCCCAGCTGATTCATTCCACGGCACTAGCACGCGCACACTTGGTGAGTAGAGTTGTCTTTCCTTGAAACACGAAACTGTGTTGGTGTTGTGTCCGGGGGTGACGTCACGTTTGTTCTGAGACCGAAACCGTTGTTAGAGTTACTGTGTTTACTGGGGGCGGGCGGACGGGGTAGTGGTGAGCACTACTGGACGGAGGGACTAGCGCTGGTGGGTAAAGAGACTGTTGTGAAAGGTAGGGTGATCTGTCTCTTGGCATTGTAAAGGTTACCACTAGCTGACAGGGCCATCTTCGCTTGTACACGGCCTCAGTACTTTCTTAAGTAAATACGTCATATTGTGACAAGACATACTGTGACATGTCACATTGTAACACTGTGACATTGTCATCAGTCAAATTGTGACCAGTCGTATTGTGACAAGTCACAATATATCAATACGCATTGTGACAACCTAGATCTAGTGTTCAAACGTAAACAAGTGATGTGATTACATTATAGCGAATGGTTACTTACTTTAGAGTATACACGTCGTTTTTAGCTGACCAAATGACCGGTACTAAAGAACGTCTAATGACGACGAAAGGTCCAAGTCTGGTTCGTCACACTAGTATGAACCACTGATCACTTGGTTCGTCATAGTTTCGTCACTCATCTGGTGACGTCACTGTTCTAGAGTGGGAACTTGGTTAGAGAGTTCATCCTTCAGTCTAGTCTGTAGATGGCTGGCTCTTTGTGTGGGTAACACCTAAATGTGGATAAGCTTGTGGATAAATCCTGTAACCAGTGAATATAATAGGGCTAGTGTTAATGTGTTCGTGTGGATATTAGCGTAAGTAATTTAATTAATCGTGTGCTTTCAAAATACTATGGGACGGAGTGGTCTAGCGGTAGAGAGCTGGACTGCTAACCCGTAAGTCTCGATTTCGAATCCGGGTTCAAATCAGTAAACAGTCCCTGAGTCCACCCAAGTCTGATGGGTACCTAACTCACGTTAGGGAGAGTAAAGGTAAAGTGAACTCTACTTCACTTGCCCCATAGACCGTCAGTTTTGAAAGGGAAACTTTACTTTTCAAACTACTATTCCTAGATACACAAACATTTATGACGTGGAGGTTAACGAAACACATTGTGGGTAGTTTGATGTTAGGAACAATGCACATGTTATACAACTAAAACATAACATTTTTGATCGATCTACATGCGTTATCGACCGTTATTTAAACTTTCCTTTGAACCACCCATCTCCCATACCCCATTGCCCCCCACTCCACATCCCCACCTCACCCCAAATCCCCACCCTCGACACCATCTCCCAGAACTGTAACGTTATTTACGGAAGCTCAATGTAAGTTGGATCACATAAAACATAAATAGTCATGTATGCTTATGACATTACGTGGAGTAAAAAAGTGAAGACCACCTTCGAAAAATAAATTGTACTCGCTCCATATAATGTACATAATAACAAAAAAAAATGAAATGAAGAAAATATTTTAAATTTGAGTAAAACTTGTTATTTTAGTGTCGTGGTGGGTTGGGGGAGGGTGTGTGAGACAAATCGACTAGGATTGTGTGACGTCAATAGTAGATGACCCTTGGTGAACTCTCGCGGGACTAATGAGCTAGGGAGTTTGTTTTAGATAAAAAAAATATATTTTAATGGATTCCATGTTTTTATTTCTCTTCTCATCGTCGCATTGCCGTAATGCTTGTACTCTGTGTGTGTGTGTGTGTGTGTGTGTGTGTGGGTGGGTGGGTGGGTGGGTGGGTTTGTGCGTGTGTGTGTGTAGGGGTTTTAATGCACTGTAAATATGGTGTGTGTGTGTGAGTGGGGTGGGTGTTAAGTATAGCTGGATTAAGGGCTTAGTATTACATGGATTTAGTTTTGACTTTGCTCCAAGTTTATAATAAGGTAACTGACATAAGAGAATTGTGGGGAGGGGGAAACTGCAGTAATAGCGTCTGTGAGTGCTTGCGTTGTGTATGTAGAGTAATTGTGGGTGGTAGTGACGTGTGGGGGTAGGGGTGGACTGGTGTGTATGTCCCAGACAACCAAAACAAAAAGCCCCCCCCCCTCTCCCCCCTCCCCGGCTGTACAGGAAATGACTTTGATTGCAAGCGCTGGTATTAGTGGAATCATAGGAGGGCTGGTTAGGGCCCTTTAATTAAGGTGGAGGGGTGGGGAGGGATGGAGAGGGGTAAGGAGGGGTGGGGAGTCACTCCACAATCAGCAGGAAACACACGATTACCATAGCAGCGGCTACCTAGCCGAGAGTAGACTGCCTATAGCAGCGGCTACCTAGCCGAGTGTCTATAGCAGCGGCTACCTAGCCGAGTGTCTATAGCAGCGGCTACCTAGCCGAGTGTCTATAGCAGCGGCTACCTAGCCGAGTGTCTATAGCAGCGGCTACCTAGCCGAGAGTAGACCGCCTATAGCAGCGGCTACCTAGCCGACTGTCTATAGCAGCGGCTACCTAGCCGAGTGTCTATAGCAGCGGCTACCTAGCCGAGAGTGTCTATAACAGCGGCTACCTAGCCGAGAGTAGACTGCCTATAGCAGCGGCTACCTAGCCGAGTGTCTATAGCAGCGGCTACCTAGCCGAGTGTCTAAAGCAGCGGCTACCTAGCCGAGTGTCTATAGCAGCGGCTACCTAGCCGAGAGTAGACTGCCTATAGCAGCGGCTACCTAGCCGACTGTCTATAGCAGCGGCTACCTAGCCGAGTGTCTATAGCAGCGGCTACCTAGCCGAGTGTCTATAGCAGCGGCTATCTAGCTGAGAGTGTCTATAGTAGCGGCTACCTAGCCGAGAGTAGACTGCCTATAGCAGCGGCTACCTAGCCAAGAGTGTCTATAGCAGCGGCTAACTAGCCGAGAGTGTCTATAGCAGCGGCTACCTAGCCGAGAGTGTCTATAGCAGCGGCTACCTAGCCGAGTGTCTATAGCAGCGGCTATCTAGCTGAGAGTGTCTATAGTAGCGGCTACCTAGCCGAGAGTAGACTGCCTATAGCAGCGGCTACCTAGCCAAGAGTGTCTATAGCAGCGGCTAACTAGCCGAGAGTGTCTATAGCAGCGGCTACCTAGCCGAGTGTCTATAGCAGCGGCTATCTAGCTGAGAGTGTCTATAGTAGCGGCTACCTAGCCGAGAGTAGACTGCCTATAGCAGTGGCTATCTAGCAGAAAGTAGACTGCATTATTTGAGATGAATCACGTTCGTTAGGGGTTGGGTGTTGAGAGGGGCGGGGTTGTTTAGGGATAGGGGGATTGAGTTTTTGTTTAGGGGACCGGTTGAAGGGGTCTAAACAAGATGTCCTGAATACAAGTAGTAGCCACCGCATTGATAAAAGCCCAGTGTGATTGGGATTTGACTTGTTCTATTGACCAGTGTGACTGGGATTTGACTTGTTCTATTGACCAGTGTGACTGGGATTTGACTTGTTCTATTGACTCGTTTGACTGGGATTTGACTTGTTCTATTGACCAGTATGACTGGTCAATTTGACTTGTTCTATTGACCAGTGTGACTGGGATTTGACTTGTTCTATTGACCAATGTGACTGGGATTTGACTTGTTATATTGACCAGTGTCATTGGGATTTGACATGTTCTATTGACCAGTGTGACTGGGATTTGACTTGTTCTATTGACCAGTATGACTGGATTTGACTTGTTCTATTGACCAATGTGACTGGGATTTGACTTGTTCTATTGACCAGTGTGACTAGGATTTGTCTTTTTCTATTGACCAATGTGACTGGGATTTGACTTGTTCTATTGACCAGTGTGACTGGGATTTGACTTGTTCTATTGACCAGTGTGACTGGGATTTGACTTGTTCTATTGACAGTGTGACTGGGATTTGACTTGTTCTATTGACCAATGTGATTTGACTTGTTCTATTGACCAATGTGACTGGGATTTGACTTGTTCTATTGACCAGTGTGACTGGGATTTGACTTGTTCTATTGACCAGTGTGACTGGGATTTGACTTGTTCTATTGACAGTGTGACTGGGATTTGACTTGTTCTATTGACCAGTGTGACTGGGATTTGACTTGTTCTATTGACAGTGTGATTGGGATTTGACTTGTTCTATTGAACAGTGTGACTGGGATTTGACTTGTTCTATTGACCAGTGTGACTGGGATTTGACTTGTTCTATTGACCAGTATGACTGGGATTTGACTTGTTCTATTGACCAATGAGACTGGGATTTGACTTGTTCTATTGACCAGTGTGACTGGGATTTGACTTGTTCTATTGACTCGTTTGACTGGGATTTGACTTGTTCTATTGACCGGTGTGACTGGGATTTGACTTGTTCTATTGACCAGTGTGACTGGGATTTGACTTGTTCTATTGACCAATGTGACTGGGATTTGACTTGTTCTATTGACCAGTGTGACTGGGATTTGACTTGTTCTATTGACAGTGTGATTGGGATTTGACTTGTTCTATTGAACAGTGTGACTGGGATTTGACTTGTTCTATTGACCAGTGTGACTGGGATTTGACTTGTTCTATTGACCAGTATGACTGGGATTTGACTTGTTCTATTGACCAATGAGACTGGGATTTGACTTGTTCTATTGACCAGTGTGACTGGGATTTGACTTGTTCTATTGACTCGTTTGACTGGGATTTGACTTGTTCTATTGACCAGTATGACTGGGATTTGACTTGTTCTATTGACCAGTGTGATTTGACTTGTTCTATTGACAGTGTGATTGGGATTTGACTTGTTCTATTGACAGTGTGACTGGGATTTGACTTGTTCTATTGACCAGTATGACTGGGATTTGACTTGTTCTATTGACCAATGAGACTGGGATTTGACTTGTTCTATTGACCAGTGTGACTGGGATTTGACTTGTTCTATTGACTCGTTTGACTGGGATTTGACTTGTTCTATTGACCAGTATGACTGGGATTTGACTTGTTCTATTGACCAGTGTGATTTGACTTGTTCTATTGACCAATGTGACTGGGATTTGACTTGTTATATTGACCAGTGTCATTGGGATTTGACATGTTCTATTGACCA